CTCCGCGACAGGCTCGTGCACAGCCTGTGCACAGGCCTACCAAAGGCCTGTGAATAGGCCTGTGGTGGGCCTGTGCGAGGACCTTTGGACAGGCTGTGCACAGGCCTGTGGTGGGCCTGGGAGAGGCCCGACGCCCCGCGACAGGTCAATGCACAGCCTGTGCACACGCCTACCACAAGCCTGTGGACAGCCTGTGTAAAGGCTTGTGGTGGGCCTGGGAGAGGGCCAACGCCCCGCGACAGGTCTTTGCATAGCCTGTGCACAGGCCTGTGGACAGGCTGTGCACAGGCAGTTGGTGGGCCGGGGAAAGGCCAATCCTCCGCGACAGGCTCGTGCACAGCCTGTGCACAGGCCTACCAAAGGCCCGTGAATAGGCCTGTGGTGGGCCTGTGCGAGGGCAGACACCCTGCGACAGGGGTGTGCGTATCCTGCGCACAGGCCTGCCGCAGGCCTGCGGACAGGCTGTGCACAGACGTGTGGTGGGCCTGGGAGAGGGCCAACGCCCCGCGACAGGCCTCTGCATAGCCTGTGCACAGGCCTACCACAGCCATTTGGGCAGGCTGTGCACAGGCCTGTGGTGGGCCTGGGAGAGGCCTGGCGCCCTGTTGCGTAGCCTGCGCACAGGCCTGTCGCAGGCCTGTGGACAGCCTGTGTACAGGCATGCGGTGGGCCTGAAAGGGACAACGCCCCGCGACAGGCCTGTGAGTAGCCTGTGCACAGGCCTGTCACAGACAGGGTACGCTCGCGCGCTGTGCTCAGGCAGAGTAGAGACCTGTGCAAGGCCTATGTCCAGGCCTATGGCAGGTTGTCCACAGCCTGTCGATAGGCCTGTCATAGGCCTATGCACAGCCTGTCGATAGGCCTACGACAGGGCTATGCATAGTCTATCGCCAGGCCTATCATAGGCCTATCGATAGGCCTTCTCAGGGCCTGTGCGCCTCGTCGGGCGTAGGCCTATGCATAGGTTATGCACAGGCCTATGCTGGGCCTGTGCACAGGCTATGCATGGTGGATTGTTGTCTACAATCCCGGCCCGCCGCCAGCTGCTCTCGGCCCCCGCGCGGCACCCGCGCCCGGCGTCGTCCGGGCAGGCGCGGGCGCTCCGGGCTCCGGTCGGCGGCGTTCCCAGACTCAGCCACGCGCAGAAGGGGGGTACAGTCGGACCGAGGTACAACATCGAGGTCGATTCGGGGAGGGTGCCCTGATGTTCTTCGTCTTCTTCGTCAGGGGAAGAGAGGGACCCATGCCGCTACCCTTCCCTCGTTTTCACTTTTTTGGGCCTCCTGGGAGGCCCTCGTCGCCACCGGTGAATTCGCCTCGAAATCCTGGTCAGAACGCACCCAGGGAGAGGTTTGGGGAGTAGCGGTATCGGTACCTTTTGGTTCCCCAACTGGGGGAGGGTGCCCTTGGATGTTCTGTGTGTTTTGGCCTGCGGAGGGTCTCATGTTCTTGCGGGATGTTCTTCTGCCCTAGATCCGACCGTAGGGGGAGGGAGGGGGGAACGCTTCTTGAAGAAGCCCCCCGCTTCTTAGAAGGCGCGAGCCTCGTCTGTGGTCTGTGGATGCCGGCGCCTTCTAAGAAGCAGCTTCCTTTTAAGAAGTGAGCGTTTTTTTCCTTTCCGACGTAACGCTCCTTGGGTGGGCCAACCCTCCCTTCCCCTGGGTAACACTTACGATCGTGCCGTTGGGGAGGGGTGGCCTGGCCCCCCCCTACATGCTGGGAGCGGACCCCCCTGAGGTATGGTGCTGTGCTCACAAGCATGGCGTGGTTTGAACGGCACGCACTGGTGCTCACAAACGTGTTGTGGCGCTCGCAGTCATCGTCGTCGTCATCGTCGTCGTTGCCGTCGCGTCGTGGTCGTCGTCGTCGTCGGTCGTCGCAGGCGCTGTGGTTCACGCAGGCAGCGTGGTGCACACCAGCGCTGCGTTGCACGCGGCGCTGCGGTGTACACAGGCGCTGTGGTGTACGCAAGCGCTGTGGTGCATGCAGGCACTATGGTGTACACCGACGCTGTGTTGCACGCGGCTTCTGTGTTGTACACAGGCGTTGGTGTGAACGCGGGCTTTGTGGAGCACGCGTATAGAGTCCTCAGGCGCTCCAGTTTCCATCGGGTTTCCTTCAAAACGTGTATATAGAACGTTAATCCAGAGGCGTCCAAATTCCCAGAAGGATTCCTTTAGCAAACAATCGCTTCTTTGCGGAATTCAGCGGTGCCCCGCTTTCCATAGCGTTTCTTTTCAAATTCTATATTTAAATGGGGTTGTGGAATCCAGAGGCGCTCCATTTTCGATAGGGCTTCCTCTCATAATCCTATTATAAACAATGGTTGTCTGTAGAATCCTGTTCTAAACAACGGTTGCTGCAGTATGCACAGGCACAGCGGTGTGCATGGGCGACGTGCTGCTGCAGTGCACGCGGCTGCTGTGGTGTACGGAGGCACTGTGATGTGTACGCATATGTCGGGGGTGAACATAACCCCCAACAGTGACACGTCGATTAGTAAATTGTCCGTTTTCGGCTCTCGAGAGGGCGTCGTAGCCGTTATTTTCCAGGCTTGCGCCCACCAGGTTTGGGCCTTAAGTCGTCTTCACTAAACCACGTTTTACTAAAGGGGGATCTGTCCATCCCCGAATATGGCGACGTGCTGCAAGCAAGAATTGGGCATTGTCGCATACACAGGTGACTGGTGCGCCGGTGGCGCGGACGCACCCTGGCGGGCCCACGCCTCGGCCGCCGTTGCCGTTACCCTCCCGCCCGACTCCCCCTCCCCCGCCCCGGGTAACGGCCATAATCGGAGGTGGATAGACCTCCTACCCTGACACGTCGATTAGTGAATTGGCCGTTGTCGGTTCGCGAGAGGGCGTCGCGGCCGTCATTTTTGCGGGTCCAGGTCCGTCGGTTTCGGTCCCAGGCCGTTTGGGAGGTTTGTCCACCGCCGATCCCTTCTGCGCGCCTCCAATCAGCGGCTGCGTGCCCAGATCAGCTTGCGTCGTGAAGGTGTCACGACGGAAGAAGGCTCGTCCCCGTCCTCGGCCTCTGGGGACCCTCGGCGGGCCTCGGGAGCGTCGAAAGCATGAAGTCAGGAGGAAGGCCGATGACGTCGGGGGTCTGGGGATGCAGTCGAGACGTTGAAATGAGGACCCTTTGGGGTTCAGGAGGGGTTCTGGCTTTCGGGCCGTTCCTTCGATCCAGAGTGGGGCGCCCGTTCGTTGCCGAGGCTCGCAGTGGCCAGAAGAGCCCCGGCGTTCCTTGATTTCGCGTTGCTCATGGCAGCGCGATGACTGTCGGCTCACGGAGGGAGTGCATCGCCCCCCACTCGCCCACCGATCGCCGATGAGGGGCCCGACAGTCCCCCACCGCCCCGCCCAGGGCCGTGCGGATTCGCTATCGGCGGTCTGTTGCCGATCGATCGGCGATGTCAATTATCACTTGGTCGTTGAAAGTAGGTATGTTTGGGAGTCCCAGGCTCCTCTGGTATACTTTAAGCGCCTTCCTACTTCAATGATCGAGTGGCTTCACCATTTCCGTCCTTTTTAGGGGGCGGGCGGACACCCAATCTATTTTCAACGCCTTCCTACTTCATGTTTCAACCGACTTCTTCTGGCCGAGGGGTATCACCAGCTCCAGCTCGATATTCCCCCCCCTCTCGGCAGCCGTTCCCGCCACGTCGGTGTCCATCAGCTCTGGCCTGCTTCGCGCTGCAGCCTTCTCTCTTTTTTGCGGGTTTGGGGCCGGGGCGGGGAGGCAGGGGGAGGTTAGGACGAGGTTGTAATTTTTACGAGGGGTTGTTGCTTCGGGAGCGCGAGAGCGTCGTAATCTTCAAGTGGTTGTGGCTTCGGGAGCGCGAGCGTGACGTCATTTGCAAGGCTGCCCACTTTCGCGAGCTCCTGGGTGGTCCAGCGGAGTGGAGTTACACGCGCACCCCGCTATCCCAGGGGGGCTGATAATTCCGCAGCTGGTGTCACGTTCGCGAGCTCCTGGGACGTCCAGCGGAGTAGAGTCACACGCGGACCCAGACCACAACTCGCCCTCCCTGGGGGTCTGCCACCTGCGCAACTGGCGCAACTTTTCACGAGGTCCTGGGAGGTCCAGCAGAGCGTTGTTGCACGCGGACCCCGTCCTCTCAGGGGGGCTGTCATCTGCACAACTTAGGCCACTTCCATGAGTTCCTGAGAGGTCCATCGGAGAAGAGATACACGCGGACCCAGATCAGAATTCGCCCTATCTGGGGGGCTGACCCCTGCGCAGTTGGAGCCACTATCGTCAGCGAACGGAGTTACACGCGAACCCTGACCAGACCTTGCCCTCCTTGGGGGGCTGCCAACTGCAACTGGCGCCACTTTCGTGAGCTCCTGGGAGGTCCAGCAGAGTGGACAGTTGCACGCGAACGCCGCCCTTCTAGGGGGCTGCCAACTGCGCAACTGGCGCCACTTTCGTGAGCTCTTGGGAGGTCCTGGATCCGGACCAGACCTCGCCCTCCCTTGGGGGTCTGTGAACTGCGCATCTGGCGCCAAGGCCGTAAGCTCCTGGGCATTGCAGCTGAGTAGAGTTGCACGCGGACCCCGCCCTTTCTGGGGGGCTGTCAACGGCGCAACTGGCGCCACTTTCGCGAGCTCTTGGAGAGGTCCAGCGGAGTGGACTTACACGTGGACCCAGACTAGTACCAGGATTCCACGGTGACACCTTCGCCCCAGGAAACCGTAGTGCGCGCGTGCAGCCAGGGAGAACTCGTTGCGGGAAGCCCTCCCTTCTCCTCCGCCTCCTCCTGTCCTCCTCTACTCCCCCGTTGCCCGCCCTCCCCTTTCCTCCGTTCCCCTGCCTCCCCCCCCCCCCCCCTCCCCCTTCCCCCCCCCCCCCCCCCCCCCCACGCGAGGCCCTCCCCTCCCTCCGTCCCTCCTTCCCCCCCCTCCCGCCCTCCCTCCTCCCTCCCTCCCACCCAGCCCCCCCATCCTCCCCTCTCCCTCCCCCCTGCCTCCACCCTCCTCGGCCCCCCGCGAGAGGCCTCGAGGAGGCGCTGCGGGCGGCGGGTGCCTACCGGAGGCCGCCGCGCTCGGAGGGGGGGGAATAATGGAGGAGGAGGAGGAGGACAAGCGGGAGGAGCAGGAGGAGCAGGAGGAGAGGAGGAGGGAGGAGGAGCAGGAGGAGGAGGAGGAGGAGGAGGAGGAGGAGGAGGAGGAGGAGGAGGAGGAGGAGGAGGAGGAGGAGGGGAGGAGGAGGAGGAGGAGGAGGAGGAGGAGGGTGAGGAGGAGGAGGAGGAGGACCAGTGTAAACCCAAGACGCATCCACGGTGCTGCAACACACCTTCCTTCCATGTTCCCTCTGCATGGGCCCCTGCAAGAGTTCATGTTCATTGCAGGAAGTGCCCCATGAGAATACAACCGTCTGAGAATCCTCAGTCTTGCTACAACGCCATTTCTGGGACTTCAGCGCCGCGAATCAACGTGGCCGTTTCGTTCTGACAGTCCTAAACGGTGCCAGAACACAATTCTTGGTACTTCAACACGCGAGTCAACGTAACTGTCAATCCCCAATCTTGCCATAGCACCATTCCGGAGACTTAAGCCGTACGAGCCCTTCAAGATGTTGCAAACACTCAAGACGAATGTACGTGGCGCGGCGCTCAGGCGAGACCACATCGCCCTCCATGCTTGAAGCTGTTTCGCTTCAAGCTTGAAGTCGAATGTGCGCGGCGCTACGCCGAGAGCCATGTTTCGACACCACCCGCCCTCCATCCTTGAAAATGGTGCGAATTCTCAGCAAGAATGTGCGCTGCGCTGCGGCGAGAGCAACATTTTGAAAACGCTCTTCATCCTTGAAGCTGTTGCAGATGTCGAGCTTCGGGATCATCAGTGGTGATGAAGCCTCGGGCGAGCCGCCTGGGCTGCCCCCGGGGTGCGACGGGGCGGAGAGTGATGAGGAAGGCAGGGGGACGGAGGATGGAGGAGGAAGAGGAAGGACGAGGCAAAGGTGGACGGAAGGGGGAGAGAGGCGGGGAGATTGGGGGGGGGTAGGGGGAGGCGGACGTGGGCCGAGGGAGGGCGTCTGGGAGAGTCGCGCCTTTCTTTTGCCGCCCGCCGCTCGTCTGCTCGCCCCTCGGGGGCAGCGCGCTCCCGCCACGGGGGCCAGCCCGCTGCTTGCGAGCACGGGCGCCCCCGGGAGACAAAGAAATATGCCCAGACGTCGGAGGTCGGGGCCCCCGCCCGTGCCCGTGCGCCCGGTCCGCTGCGCGGGGGCGCGAGGATGTGACGGCGCCTGGCTCGACGAGGGAAGAAAAACGGCATCCCTATCCCTCCTCCTCCTCCTCCTCCTCTTCCTCCTCCTCCTCCTCCTCCTCCTCCTCCTCCTCCTCTTCCTCCTCCTCCTCGACGAGGATGTGCCAGCTTGGAACACATCCCTATCCCTATGCTGGGCATCTCCTCGTCACGATGCCAATCTTAGGGATGCCCTTATTTTTGGAGGGCGGATCCCTGAGATTGTCATCGCCTTCTGGCGTGTCGATCTTAGGGATAGGGATACGTTCGAGGCTGGTAAATAGACATAAACTTTTGGCGCTCCGCGCGGACTTCTTGGATCCGCGCTGGGGCCCCCCGGCGGCGCCTCCGGCGCCGCCCCTGGCGCGCTCCGCGCGCCAGGGAGGGGGGCCCAGCGTGGATCCGAGGAGTCCGCGCGGAGCGCCACAAGTTTATGTTGATGCCATTTTTTGTTCCTCTGCGGAGGTCGCCTCTTCTCCACGATTCGGTACAGTCAGCCCGCACAGATAAGATGGGTAGCCTTCTCAAGGGTGCCCCTTGCATCCTTGCCTCCTCGGTCCATTCTTGGCCGCTCTTGCTGGCCGCGCCCCGCCCGCGAGGTGCTGACACGGTCTTCCAAGGCCCTTGCATCCTAATCGTGCGTCCTTATGATACGGGTCGACTGCACGATCGAAATGATACGGGTCGACTGCACGATCGAAAAAATGGGCACGAAGATCCGAACACCGACAGCAGTTCTTGCTCGTCTTGACCACGACTCGCTGGCGTCCTGTTGAGAGAGGAGGCCCCCTTTCCAAGAGCGGCCGCTTTCGGTTCTGGACAGCGTTTGCTGGTCGGTATCGTACCCATCTTTTCCGTACCCATCTCGGGAGTCCAAATGGTGCATCGGCTCGAGAGTCGCGTTCTGGACGGGGACTTGGGCTCTTACAGTGCTTCCTAACAGCGACGTGTGTGTGTGTGTGTGTGTGTGCGTGTGTGTGTGTGTGTGTGTGTGTGTGTGTGTGCCCGGTGCCCCGTGTCCCGGAGAATCTGAGAATCTTTCGCGTAACCGTTCTCCTGCACCGCGGCAAGTCTTCACCGAGCAGCTCCCAGGCCGCCACCTCACGACCTCCACCCGGAGCCCGGGCCGCCCGGCCGACGTGCAGGGCCGCATGCTCCGGGCGCCTCGCCCGCCCGCAGCCCGCTTCCTCCGCGGCCGGCCTCGCCCTCACCGCCTCCCGGGTGTGATTTTGCAGTCTCGCGGCCCGACCTGGGCCCTCCCGCTCTTTGCGATCGCTGGCGCGGAAGTGTGTGCGTGTGTGTGTGTGTGTGTGTGTGTGTGTGTGACGTCGGCGCCTGCCCCGCCGCCGCCTGGCCCTGCTCTGAGCGGGTCCGGCTTCCTCTCCCTCCCACCCGCGCCGGGCTTCTTTTCTCCTCCTCCCGTGCACTGCGGCTTAATTCGCGTATTGTGTGTCCCACGGATCTCACATCGCCAGAGCAGTCCTTCTGCCTAGCCGCCGACGGAAAAGTGTGTGTGTGTGTGTGACGTCGATTGTCGGGGAGTGCTGCCGGTCCCGCCAGGTCTTCCTGCGCCCGTCTTCCTAGCGGTCGGTCGTGTCTCTCCCCGTTTGTCTCACGAGTCTGCCCATCTCTCCACGCGTGCCCCTTTCCGTCTCTCTGCGTCTGTTTCTCTGACCCTTTTTCGTTTATCCGTCTATCTCTCTCTTCGTCTCCCCATCTCCGTTTTCCATGTATCCCTGTTCAGTTTCTGTCTTTCTTTTTGTCGCTCCCCTGTTTGACGTGATACCAACGCGCTTCCTTCGCCAACATCAGGCGCTGGCTGGCTTCCGAGACGCTGGTGGTGACCGCTGCAGGCCAAGCGACGTTCGATTATGCTGGTGGAGATGAGAGTGTCAAGAGGTGGAGGAGGGGATGATGAGGAACAGGACGAGTACATGGCAGATGGGCAAGGGCGATGAGGAGGATGAGGAGGAGGCGTGGGGAGGAATGAGGAGCCTTCCCCTCCCTCTTCCTTCCCTCCGTCACTCCCTCCACTTCACTCCCTCCACTTTTCTTCCTCAAGATCCAAACCGCACAACGTAGCTTGGAAGTGTGTCAAATCAGTACATGAGGGGGAGGACATAAGAAGCATATTCCACACGCTTCGCGTTACCCCACCAGCACATCCAGAAGCGGTGCACAGGCGAATTGCCAGGCCCTGATCAGGGATGTGGAGGAGCATGCAGTGGAATGAAGGGCTGTGGAGGCCGTCATCTCCCAAAAGAGAGACGATGGAGTATGAATCGGAAGAGGAGGAGGGGGAGCGGGGGGGGGATGGGGATGAGGGAAGAGGGAGGAGAGAGGATAATGAATAGGCGGATGAGTAAGAGGAGGGAGAGGAGGTTGGCGAGCAGAAAGTCCAGAGGCCTCTTGGATACATCTGGGTGTCTCTTCCGATGTCTCTTGGTAGCTTCTTAGAGGCCTCTTGGTGCGTCTTAGGGGGCCTCTGGGCGGTCGCGGGGGCCTCTTGGAGCGTCTTGGGTGTCTCGGGATAGCTTGTTGGGGCCTCTTGGGTGTCTCTTGGTAGCCTGTTGGGGAACTCTTCGGGGCCTCTTGGGGCCTCATTGGCGCCTTTTGGGGTCCCAGTGGCACTCTTGGAAGCCATAGGGGCCATCTTGGAGGAGATCGGTCAAAGAAGGGGAGGGGCCTTGATTAGGTTTCCCCGCAGATTGTCAACATGGGCCCGACACCTAAACACCATGAATGAGTTGTGCTTTCTCGTCGTTGCCATCTTTGACGCTCCAATGGATCGCATCCCCCTCCAGACCCAGGGGGATGGGGTAGGGGGAAGGGTCAAGCTACCCTCCTAGATAGCAGGCCGTCTAGCTCACTTCCACCCGCCCGCCCTCCCCAAGCAGAAGTACCACCCGAGTGTTAGCAGATCGCTCAGGAACGCCACACATGCCATGTGCGCCACGGGTTCCAGGTGCACCAGACACCCTGGATGCCCAAGCGTGCCAGGTGCGGCACATGCTTCGGGACGAAGGGGGGTTGGAAGAGGAACCGCTCTAATCCACTCACGTCCTAACGGGCTGGTGGGATTTGGACGACGTTGGGACGAACCAGTATAGATATGAGGAAATAGGCAGGGGGACAGGGGATGATGAGTACGGACGAACCGGAGAAGAGAATGTTGATGGAGAAAGAGGCGGAAGGTGTTGATGGAGGGCTGGCGGAGGATGTGGCGTAACTGCAGAAACATCGAGGGGAGGAGGTGGTGGTGGGCAGGAGGAGGAGGTGGAGGTAGGAGGGAGGAGGGAGGAATGAACAGGGAGGAGGGGGATAGGGTGGACGACGACGACGACGACGACGGGTTGGATGCTTCCGCCGAAAAGGTTGCAATTCTGGGAGTTCCCACGGGTCTGCCATTGAGCGTGGATCTGAGACGCTCCATGCTTCGCTTCGTCTCGACCCCTCCATTCCTCCCACTCGAGGGGGAGGGGAACGAGGAGGAGGAGGAGGAGGAGGAGGAGGAGGAGGAGGAGGAGGAGGAGGAGGAGGAGGAGGAGGAGGAGGAGGAGAGAGGAGGGACTGGTGGACGACGACCACGAGGAGGATGCTGCCGCCGAACGTTGCAATTCTGATAGTTTTTTTTTCCCTTGGCCTACCATCTAACGTGGCCCTGTGAGGTTCCTTGCTCAGTTTCGTCTCGGCTCCTCCTCTTCCTCCCCCCTCGAGGAGGAGGGCAAACAAGTGCAACAAAGAAAGAGATAATCACGTCGATGCAGTCAGCTCCTGGCGAATATGTGCACGACAGACGGGGCATAGCCGATGTATTTGCGGACTTCTGCGCGCCATTGTACTCAGAACCCACAGGTCCTGGACTCGACTCTTCCACGCCCGGCGGCGCAGGACGAAGGCGAGACCGTTGCACCTTTCAGTGACGACGAATTGCGGCATGGGCTCGAGCAGCTGGAGAACGGCAGAGCCGCGGACACCAATGGAACAGCAAGTGAATGCTGAAGTACGGAGGGGAGGCGCTGAGGAATTCATTGCGGAACCTCTTCAACGAGACTGTCACTGACGGTGCAATAACACCACGCCACTGGGGCCGTCGTGGGGCGATCTTGGGAACGTCTTAGTCCGTCTCGGAGCGAGGCGAAAATGCCAAAAACCTTCAAACACGTTAGAGAGCTCGTTGATTTTTGCTTCGTGGGGCCCTTTTGGGAGGCCTATTGGAGGCCTCTTGGGTTGTCTTGGGAGCATCTTGGGCCGTCTTGGGGCCATCGTGGGACATCTTGGGCCGTCTGGGCCTCCTGAGGCTCTCTTCGGAGCCTCGTCGGGCAATCTTGGAGGCCTCTCGGGCCGTTCTGGCCGCGCGGTGGCGTCACCATACGAATCCTGGGGTGGCCCGGAGCAGCCTGGATTTGAGGTTCACACCCCCCTGTTGGCTGTTTGGTGACGCGGCGGGGCTCCTTAGCAGACAGTGAACAGGAAACAGGAAACAGGACTGGAGGGACACAAGGCCAAACAACACATGACAACACATAACACATGACAGCAGACCGCACGCACCCTCGCAGCCTTGCGCCCCTGGAGGGGGCCGGCGGATATATCTATACATATATATATATATATATATATTTATATAATACGTATCGGCTCCCAAGCGAATGCCGTCAAGCACGTGGAAGGCCCGAACGCGCGCGTGCTCGCCAGGCGTTCCGTCTCCGTGCGAGCGTTCGGCCAGTAGATCGACACCCAGGATCTCTGCATACTCTCTGGTGTCGTGGCCCATCCCTGGAGGAAGGGGGGGAGGAGGATGGGGGAACCGCTGTTGCCCATCTCGGCGTACATTTCGATCCTCCTTGCAAAGCTTATGTTCGGAGGAGGAAAAGGTTCGGATACCGCCACCCATCTTCGTTTTTCCCATTTTTGGCCTCCTTGGGGGCCGCTGGATGTTTTTATAGAAATTTTGATCAGACCGCGCCCCGGCAGAGGTCCGCGGAATGGCGGTATCGGTTCCTCTTGGTTTCCCCAGCCCCTGCATATTTGCGGATCCTCCCGGCGAGAGTCGAGCATGGCCATAGCTGCTCCTCTCTGTCCGGCTTCCCTCCGGTCCCCCGACCTTCCCGCTGACGCCAGCGGGCGTGGACACCCAACCGTTTGTCTTCAGGTCTGCGGGGAAACGAAGGATGGCGACGACGACGACGATCGTCACCACCCACCAAACCACCCCAACCCAACCCGAAGGCCTCAATTTGTCCTCCATTTCCAGTGGGGGGGGATTGGGGGACGTCGAAAAAACACATGGTCACCGTACCCCCCCCAACCCGAAATTCGGGTCAAATTCGTGTCTTCGGGTTGGGTTGGGATGGTCTGGTAGGTAGTCAGATCGCGACGGCGACGGCGGCGACGATGACGAGGGCGGCGACGGCGGCCGCCGCCCCCACCCCGTCGCAGACCCGCCGCCGGGAGTGGCGGGGCGCTGGCTGGCCACGGCCGCGGACCGCGAGGCCGCCGCGAGCGGCATCCCTCCGGGGCTTTCGCGCTGCCGCCCCCGTGGGGTGGCGACCACACGGTGTGGCGAGTCGGTGGGGATTCGGGGCCACCGCACGGTTTTGGGATATTCGAGGCCCTCTCCGAGGACGTCTCTCGGGCGAGAGGGGCCTCCAGGGTCCCAGGACCGTGCGGCGGCGGACCGTGCGGCGAGGTGTTTGGGCTTTCGAGGTCGCCGCACGGTTTGTCACCGCACCGTTTCGGGACTCCAGAGACGCGTTGTGGGTGGGGTTCTCGGCGGGCTTCCCCGCCGCCGCTGCCGCCCTCGCGGCTCCTCGCCGGGCCGCCGTGCAGGACGGAGTCGGGCGACAAGGGGAGGGTCCGGAAAAGGGGGAGGGGCCTTTTGGAACTACTCTTAGGTCGGGCATGTCCCCCTCCAGGCGGATTTTGGGCGAAAAATCAAACATAGTCCAAACATACTTTAAACAACCATCCGAAATAGTCCGAACATCGTCCCCTGAGTAATCCTTCTGTAGAGGGACATGCCCGACTTAAAAAAGCTACTCGGGGGCCTCCTGGGGGCATGCAGGCGATCTCGGGGGCCACCTTGGGGCGTAGGGCTCGAGATGTCGGTTCGCGTTCCCCGTCTTGGACGTCCGTTGGGCCCGTATTGGGGCCCTCTGGGGCTACCCTGGGAGTTTTTTGCAATTTGCGCCGTCCTGGGGCCCTGTCGGGCCGTCTGCGCGCCTTCTTTTGGCCTTGGGGTAACCTGGGGCGATTCCGGTGGCCTTTCTTCATGGTCTCGGCGCATTAGCATCTCGGGGCCTGCTTGGAGGGCCAGTTGGAGCCTCCTTGGGGCGTATCGGGGGCCTCTTCGGCCGTCTGGAAGCTGTTGTGGGCGTCTGAGGGCTATCTCTGGGCGATTCGGGGCCATCTTGGATGGTCTCGCGGGCTTCTCGGGGCCCGCTTGGCCCGTCTGGGGGCCCCTCGCATCTGCAAAACTCACGCGCCCAAGAGCGCCCAAGAACGCCCAGGAGCGCCCCGAAGCCGGAGCGCCCGAGCGCCCAAGAGCGCCCAGAAGTCGGGGTTGCGAGTTTTTTTTAAATTGTTATCTGCATGATTCAACGCTGGAGCCTGAGGGTATTCCACTTCAGCGGAATTTCTGCTGTGCCTAGCCTGGCATATCGTAGACGCCATCGGTCGTGTTAGGAGGCGGTCGATCGTCATCGGGTCGGGCCCAACACACCGACAGCTGTCGCTGCAAGCGCGCCGCAGGCCCCACATGTGCACACCGTGACGAGCTCAGTGCGAAGACGCGACGTTTTTTCCAGATGAATGTGCGAGGAATGCGGAGTTTCTTTGGTCTGTGTATTTACACCGTCGTCGCCGTTCGGAGTCAACCGTTATGGTTGAGTCTTCTGCTCTATAGCGATAGTGGTGCTACTTCTGAAGAGCGGGAGAACTACATGTTACAACACCTTGGTCTGGACCATATGTTTTTGGGGCGAAGTAGCTATCAAGACTTTCTCGTGCTTGCCCGCTGTCAGCCTCATCGTAACAGTGCTTTCTGTAGCTTAATTTAGTTGGTCAGCACTTTGATTACATCAGCATGGCTGAGCACTGCTCAGCTGACGGTAATGCCACTCCGCCTCGTTTCATAGGAGCTCCAATGCGGTTAAATTTGCATGTGCAACTCGAAGTTTGGGTACTGAGTCGGCTGCATGTTCGCTGTAGTGGGGCTCGGATGTATTTTTTGGGGGGCTGTATACTGTTATGTGTATATACATACTCGCATGTTCTTGTCTAGCCATGTTTAGCCTCGGTGAGTGTTCATTGTTAGTCTCGCTTGCCGTAGCTCTTAACAACTCAGCTCAGCCCTGCTTAGCTTAGTGTAGATCGCACTTTGGCTTCGCCAGTTTCCGCTCCGTCTATCTTGGCGTGGTTATGGGACTTTGAGTCTTGTGGGAGCATCTTGAAGTTTGACGGTAGGTGTGGGGGAAACGTGACGGAGGGAACCCAGAGTTGCCGAGGGCGGGTGGGAGGGGCGGAAGGGAAAGGCGATTGGAGAGTGGAGGAACGCGCGGCCAGATTGGTGAATTGAGGACTATGAGAGTATGGAAACAGGGGTGGGGGGGAGCCGAGGGCAGGGTGGAAGAAAAGGGGGTTGGGTGAGGGGGTCGAAGGGGGCGTCGAACGCGGGGCAGAGGGGGCTGTGGTGGGGGGGTCGACGAGGGGGGGGGGACGCGGCGGAGGGTTGGAACGCGCGGAGGTCAGGCGATCGCGAACATGGATCAAGGGGCCGTGGATTTGCGACGGGTCCCTTTTCCACGAGAAATCGCGGATTTCCGCCGCCGAACGAGGCGGGACCGGCCGCATTTTGGGGAGGGCACCTCCCCCGATCCATGGATTTGGCGACCGCGCGTCAAATCCATGGATCGCTAATACATGTTTGCGCGCCCCCGAGGAGGGGGGGCGGGCCAGGGGTGTAACAGCGTCGGGGTCGCAGCGCGGCTGCTTCGCCGCGTAAGGGCCCAGGGGTCCCCCCTCTGGTCGCCGTTCGCTGGCAGGCGGCTGGGCTGGGCTTTGGGGCTCCCAGGCGTCGCCTCGCACCCGACGATTTGTGCCGCAGAGGCCGTGCCCCGCAGACTGACCGTCTGCCAACCAACCCCCTCCTCCCCTTCCTCCAACGAACCTCCTTCTTCTCCTCCCCCTTTGCTCCTCTGTTCCCCCTTCACCGCCCTCGTCTCACGCGAAGCGTTCCTCTGAGGGGTAGGTGTTCTTTACTCGGGTGGCTTGCGCCATCCCGCTGGCCCCGACAAACAGTGAGTGTTTGAGACCACCGTGGAAGCTATATCCTGGGTCAGGAGGCACTTAGATGCATATGGGGGGCTCTTGGGGGTGCTTCTCGGGGGCCTCTTGGATGGGGCATCTGGCAGGCTTTTTGGGGCCCCGTGGGGGCCTCTGGGTGGCTTCTTAGGGGCGTTTCGGAGTCTTCTTGGGGCCAGAGGGGCCTCAGGGGCCTCTGTGGGGCTCGAGGGGCTATCTTGGTGGGAAGGGCTCGAAATGTCAGTTCGAATTCCCCCTCTTGGGCTTTCTTGGAGCCCTCTTGGAAACTGGGACCTTCTTGGGCCGTCTTGGGGGGCCCCTGGCGCTCTGTTTGGGCCCTCTTGGGCCGCCTTGGGGCCTTCTTGTAAGCATCATGGGCCGTCTTGGGACGATCTTGGGGGCCACTTGGGCCGTCGTGTTCGCTGTCAAAACGTGAGATGCGAGTGTTTGTGAACATGTGCGTCTTTCAATGGAAATCGGATGATATCGGCCTCTTGGGCCCCTCTCGGCGTTCCTCTGGAGGCGCTTTGGGCTGTCTCGGGGGCCTCGTGGGCCATCTAGAAGCCATCTTGGATCGTCGTGGGGCTACGCTGGGCCGTCATGACGCTCTCTTCGACTGTCTTGGCGCCCTATCTGGGCCCTGTTGGGCTGTCTTCGGGCTTTTTCGTGGCTCCGGAGGCCCTGGGGAAGCGTTGACGAGCTCGTGCCCCGCCCCCCGGCCCCCCTTCCCCAGGCCCCCCCCCTTCGAATACGATTTTGAGCTCCAGGGGAGGGGGAAAGGGGGAGGGGAACAGCCAAGTATCTCACACGCCTTTTCACCCCCGGCAAGCGGGGATCGGCGGATTTTCTCTCTTCACTGCTGTTTGGTGTGATCACCTCTTGCCCTTGATGGCGCCGTCCATCCCTGCCCTCGTCGTTGTCCTCTTGCCCTCTGGCCTCGTCGCTGGCGCAGGCCTACGAGCGCTGCTGGGAGACGTTCCGTAGCCTGCGAAAGGAGGACAGCCGCCGACAATTCGTCCTCGTGGTCGCCGCCCTGCTCCCTGCGCAGCCTCACCGCTCCCGCGCCCCCCCTCTCTCTCTCTGCGGCAGTGCCTGGGGTTTCTGCCGGTCCAGGCCGCCAGAACCTTCGGTGGGGCTCCCTAAGGGGCCACGAAACGTATGAGGGGCTTGCCGATATGGGATATGGGTTGTGGAAGTCGATCAATGGAGCAGAAGCATGCTGCCACATACTTTCCCGACGTATCAGAGATGTGTCAAGCGTGCTTCCGCCATGTAAAACACTGGCTTACGCATGTGCAGATCTTGGCATCACAGAAAATGTTTAAAGCACATATTTGATTCAATGATAGGACTGTTGGACTGTCCACTGTCATGGCATCCACAAGGAATTGGGCTGGGGAGGCGCGCGCGCGGACGGCCAGCCTCCGTTGGCCCCGGCTGCTCTGTCTGGCGCGGCCTCTACGCTTCCATGCCGGCGCCCCCTGCTGGCGCCCCAAGGGCACTCGGCGCGCCCAGGGCCGTGGTGCCAAGCCCCCTCTTGGCTGGAGGATTTCTCCGAAGGGCTTAGGCGACCCGTCCTCCCTCCTCCTCCTCCTCCTCCTCCTCCTCCTCCTCCTCCTCCTCCTCCTCCCTCCTCCTCCTCCTCCTCCTCCCTCCTCCTTCCTCCTCCTCCTCCTCCTCCGTAGCCATTTTGGCTCAAGGGGCCTGTTCCTTAACTTCCAACCTCTCTCGAGGCGCCTGGTGGCCAGGCACCAAGGCCGGGAGCGGACGCGCTCCCCTGGCCCGCCGTGGCCGCGCTCCCTCGTGCCTGCGGCTCTCCTCCCGCGATGCCGTCCGAGGGCGGCGACTCGTGGCCTGTGTCTCTCTCTCGTCCACTCCCCCCCCTGCCTCCTCTGGGGGGATGAGTACGCCCGCGCCGGTGCCTGAAGGTACCTGCTTGGAGGGTAAGCGGGACACCGAGCAGATCCTTGCCGCCATGCGTGATATGATTGCTCCTCTGTCGTTGTCAGTCGCAAGCTTGTCCAGTCAGTTGAATCTCGGCGTTAAGGAGATCAACCAGCAGATTTCGGGAATCCAGGGTCAGATGATTGCCGCTCAGAAGAATTTCCAGACATTACAGCAGGCGCACACTGAATTGGCAAAACAGACGGCTTCAAACTTCGAGCAGATGCGAGCGATCCATGAACAGGCTCTTCTTCAGTGCATTCAGGACCGAGAGACCGCAGAATCCGCCCTTCGTGATGAGCTCAAGGGAATGATCCAGACGACGCGCGATGAGATCCAGGACCTTCGGAATGCCGACCAGGGGACCCCGACTCCTCGGGGGGATGATGACAGGCAAGTTCGTCGTAAGATCGAGACTGGTCTCGTGGGCAACCCATCGCGTCTTGTGGTACTTGGGTTCCCTCGGCCGTTGATGGAGAAAACGCTCCGCGAGGCTGTCCAGAGCATCCTCACCCGCTGTGCTCCGTCTTCGTCTCAGGGTTCGATTCAGGTCGAGGCCTACGATTGCAGTAAGAAGGTGTTCCTGGACTTTGATTCCAACCTGGAGGCCTCCACTTTCCACGGGATGGCCTTGTCCGTGGGCGCGTTCCCCTTCCCAAACCCCGAGGGCGGTCCTGACTTGCAGCTACGGGTTCGACGGGATCTCCCCCCCTCGTCCAGGAAGCTGTTCTACTATCTTGGGAATATGCGCCAGCATGTCTCCAGAATCTTTGGGGCGGACAAGGTTGGGTCGACGGGACTAGGAGGTGCGATTTCTGTGATGAAGGACAACGGAGTCCCCGTGCAGGTTGTAAAGATTTCCATTGTCGATGATGGCCCCACTGCGGGCTCCGTCCAGCGTGGCGTCGAAATCGATGGGCTGACGGAAGTGGGTGGGCAGCAACACGCACAGTGTCTGCGCGCCAGGTTTGCAGAGATTCGCCCCTTTCGGTGAGTATCGGAACGGCTCGACAGGTGAGTGGGCGGTGGGGGGAAGTCCAGTGGGTTCGGCTACTGAGTGCTCGTCCGCCCTCCCTGCCAATTTTGGTGCACACCATGCAAGTGACAGTGCTTTATCCTTCTCGCCGCCTGCTGGGGAAGCTGGTGGGGTCTACCGTCCTGCCCGTCCTCTGTCTCTCTGCAGTTGGAACACGCGCGCGCTCTTTGCCTCTCTCTCGTCTCGTTCATCTCGGTCACGTGCGCGCTTCCTTCGGGCTAGGCAGCTGCTCTTACAGTATCAGGCCATGTGTTTACAGGAGACGCACGGATCTGAAGCAGACTTGGTTATCCTTCGGGACGAAATGCGGCCTGGGCATTTTTTGGGGAGTTTTCTGGGCGATCGGGACGCGGGTGGGGTGGTGACGTTCCTGTCTTCGGATCTATGTGGTTGTTTCGACTCGATCGCTCCGATTGCGGTCGTTCCTGGGCGGATTTTACTCGTCCATGGTCGGGGGCCTCGAGGCGACTTGGTCGTGGTCAATGTTCATATGCCTAACACGTGCGATGATGTCCATATCTATCATCAGTACTTACGCCTCGTCAGTCGCCCTTCCTGCGGCAGCGCATACTATGGTTGTCATTCTGGGCGACTGGAATTTCTGTACGATGGAGGATGGTAGGTCTCTGGTCTCGGGGGGGATTGGGCCTGGGGACCCTATGCAATGCGATGCGTTTCAGGAACATTGCAGCCACTGGTGTGAATTATACCAGCCCGACCCGACCCGTAGGGATATTGTGAATCGGGAGCTGAGGGGACGGGCCAGATTAGATCGGATTTACACGACCCTTCCTGCAGGTATTCTCAATGAGATGACCGTCGTTCTCAACGCTGTCGGCACCCTCATGCATCCAGGGGCCTCTTCCGATCGCATTCCCGTTGCTGCCGCGATTTCCCTCCCGACCCCGAGGGGTCGGTTCTTGGTTCCGAATTGGATCAGCCAGCGTGCCGACTACCACAGGATGGTTTCCGAACAGCTGAGGGAGCTGACGCTCCCGTCGGAGCCTGCCCAGCAACTCGCGCGGGTGAACGAAGTTTTCGGTGCGGCTGCTGTGGAATTTAAGAAGTCCCTTAAGTGTCGTCCAGCGGCCGACGATGCGGAGCGGCTCCACTTTGCTTTCGTGGCATGCCGTGGGTGGCGTGGTAGGCAGTGGTATCTCTGTCTTCGTGCCATTCGTTGCTGCGCCTCTCTCCTGCCTTTCTTCGACGTCGACGGCGGTGTGTGCGTTGATCCTGTTGGCCTCCACAGTTTGGTACTGACCTTGAAGGGTCGTTGGTTGGATGCCGAGCTGGAGGAGTTGGATCATAGTAAACAGGTGGAGGAGGTAAGGACCAAGAAGAGGCGGGGGCTGGTGGCTCTTCGGCGTGGGTGGGATCTCATGAGGAGGAGGACTGGGCTGCTAGGCGTCTTGGACGAGGACGGGGCCCCGTGTGCCTCCCCAGAAGCGGCAATTGCGGCTCTGGTGGCCCATTGGAGTACGGTCTTTGCCCAGGCTGATGACGATCCGACTCATTGGCAAGAAATTTTGGCCCATGTTCAGACTACCGACGGTCATAGTCCTGCCCCTCGATGGAAACTTGACGTTGACGAATTTCGGGGCCGTGTCGGCCATAAATTTCATTCTGCTCCTGGTCCTGATGGGATCCCGTATGGATGCTGGAAGGTCCCTGAGGCGACCGCTGCCTTGTTCGAGGTTTACGAGGAGGTTTTCAACAGTGCAGGGGGTGCACTCCCCCCTGATTGTCGAGTTAGTCGCATGGTCTTCCTCCCGAAGGGCAGCCGCCCACGTGATCGCAGTGACTTTGTCTCACGTGCACCTGCCTCCACCCGCCCGCTCCCCCTCTCGAACACGGATGCGAAGATCCTCTCCGATGCCTTCTGTCTCGGACTCAACGGCGTCGCTCCTGTGACGGTGGACCCCTCCCAGCGAGGTGGGGTTCGAGGGCGCAACATTCCGGGCAATGTTGCCGAGGTGGAAAAATGGGGCCTTCTTCAACACATGTGTGGGAGGGATAAACCGGGGGTCTTATTCACCGATTTCAAGGCGGCGTTCCTTTCGATTTTGGCGGAGTGGATTTTTTGCCGTTTTGGTGGCTATGGGATGGGGGTTCCCAGCGAGACGGTGGGCTTCTTCAGAGCCCTGTATGCCAACAATACGGCCCTCGTCTGTTTTGAGGGCGCTGCTGAAACGGTTTTCCCCGTGGAACGAGGGGTGCGGCAGGGTGATCCTGCGTCCATGGCCCTCTTTGCTCTGGCCCTTGATCATGTACTGCGCTGGATCCGTGCCCGCCGTGTCGATCGTGTGGGTGTCCAATTGGCGTATGCTGATGACTGTTGTTTTGGACTGCGTGACATTCTCATCGATCTCACGCCCACCCTGCTGCTTCTCGACGTGCTCTCGTCCGCGATTGGTCTCTCCTTGGATGTGGGGAAATGCTACGTCCTGGTCTGCGGGGCGCTGGATGGAGATGCCCTCGCTGCCCACATGGCTCGGAAGGGTAGCCGTTTTGTCTCTGTCCGTTTCGCCACCAGAGTTTTGTACCTCGGATTCTGGGTGGGCCCGTCGGCCCATGAGGTGGCCTAGGTGGAAACGATGAATAAGTTCTGGCAGCGAGTTCGTCTTCTTCGCTCTCTCTCGCTGGGCTTGGCGACCGCCATCCGTCTGTTCCACTCTAATTGCCTCTCCGTCTCGAAGTATCGGATTCAGCTGGTGCGGGTCACCCCTTCGGTTCGGCGTCAGTATAGGGAAGCTTTGCAGATCCTTACCGCGGGGCCTCGGCATGCGTTGAATTACAGTATGCTCACTCAGTTACGTGACCTGGGGATTTCCCTTGAGTTCGCGGGCCTGGGGCTGTATGATAAAGCTACGAAGTTTCGGGTGGTGATGCGGTGCGAGGCGTTATATGGTGCTCTATATGAGTTAGAGGGCTTAGCGGGTTGCTTGACCGATGATGAGTTTATCCCTGCTCGGATGTTTTCTGGGTGGTGGTGCCATTCTATGATGCGCACGACGAAT